TACTGATTAATTAGTCATCAAGTAGATCAAAGGGCATTGAATCCATGAAACATGGGCATCATAAAGTGCGGGATTGAAGCTTTCGCATGCCCACGCCAGAAAAGGCCATCTTAATAGTTTTCGCAGGACATCGATTTGCTATCCGTCAATCGGTTGATTGAACTCAGCGACTTTGAGGTGAAGTCCTTGCTCAAAAATATCAGCAGTTAATCAAAAAATTTAAGTTCCGGGTTAAGCTGAACATCAATGTCCCTCCCATCACCATTTCTCAACTAAGAGCATGATTTCATTTGTGAAAATGGGCCTTAGGCAGGTTCTGATATGCACTTTACTGAATTATGGTTTTTCTGTCAAGGCTCCAGGGTAGTTTCTAATTAGCACAGAAATTCATTTAAACAAAATCGACTATGCTAACATTTTTACACTTCAGACACTAATGCCCGATTTACACAGCGAACACTCACAGTGTGTCAGAAAGTCTTACTTCACAACGATGTTGCGATAGAGTAAGGCCAGTAAAGATGATAAAAATTTCCATCTGTCGTACACTAAAGTTACATCATTGTAAAGTAAGAGATTTTGCCCACGTACTGCACACGATGCATTTTCGCCATGTAAAATCCGTTATCAGTACTTGAATTTATTAATTACGAGAGGGGTTGAAAAGCTGCCATCTTCGATAGCTACCTCAGAATATCGAGGTTGTCTTTTTCTATAAAATCTCTGGTCTCTCATTTTACCTGTGCGACGTAATGGGCCTGACGGTTCGGCAATAAAAATTATGACAGAAACCTATCGCAGTATTTTAGAAGAATTGCTGTACACAGTCGTCGCGAATTTCTACTAGGATAACGAAACAGGCAAGCGCATCATACAATCACTTTACACCGGACATGTACAGGTGCAAAAGTATTCAGGTTATTGAACAATAACTGTTGCCAGTTGAATATCTGAAAAGAAAACCAAAGTGACGTTGGAGTTGAAGGCTTCAAAGAGTTGACGCGATTCTACGAAAGGTACGGTATCCTGGTATCGTGCCATGTGTCATAATAATGCGAAATCGCACTCATACTCACTCCATCATCCGTCGCTCGAAATGTGCTGTGAAGTTCTAGGCGCAACAGAGGCTTCCTAAAATGTAGCTCTCATCAGTTCAACATATAGCACATGGTAAAGCATATTTCTGAACCAAGGCGCACCTCAGCGTCCAAAATATTCCGTGCATAGGTAGCAGAGAAACATCTCCTTATTGCGGCAGCTGTGCATCAGTAAATCGTATCAGTAAATTGCAACTGAAGTTGTTGGCGCTGCACCATGGTAACCATCGCAGAAGCATATCGATCGAATTATTCAGTGGTGTGGTTGCACCACTATGCCTAAGAGTTCAGTTTTGAACTCAGGAGGTGCCGGGTTGGAATCCGTTTAAGGTACAATCCGTCGTCGCAACGACGAATTCCCTTGAGCATGGAATTGACCCATACTGTTTCGGCAGAACCAGTGGAGAAACGAGTAGATAGTCGGAGACAGCAGTAAGTTGCAAGTAAAATGTGCAACACTGTGTTCTGATCTGGTCATGTCAAAATAGACGAGATGTACCACTAGGCTGTCCGATGTGAGCGCCCTTTGTGGCTGCACATCGTCATAGCCCAGCCCAGTTGATCACTGACTACGCAGTGTAATAATCCGCACAAGCCATAACTAGAATTGAAAAAGAAAGTGAAAATTAAGTGTGGGGAAATTTAACTCCGAACCTCACCTTACCAAAGGCTTGCCAACAGAATCGTATCCAATCGGTATGCATCTTGTAGTCCGTAGTATTGCTGATGCAGAATAGGTGGTTCTACTTTGAAAACTTTCACCGCAGGTAAACCGTCTCGAAACTCTGACTAAAGGAACGATTATTTTTCGATTCTTTATGAATAAATTATTCTAATCTAGGTGCCGTCGTCCAAGCGACTAATATGAAATACACAAATGACTGTTAGATGCATCGCCTGATCACATGTTCCTTGCCATCGGTAAGGTTTTATAAGCTTACGTTTTGCTTTTGCTGTTCAAATTTGTTGTATGGCCCTTATGACTTGGGCTGGAGGTTCACAAGGTACTGCATAATGCCGATTCTCACTTCGTATGTCAATTTAGATTAGTAACTGAAGGCGATTTTGCGCGGTCCGAAGATATGCAATAAGGATGCGAGACGGGGTCACCGCGCATGTCGTTGATGCCAGTTCCGTCACCTTTTCTGAATGGACCCTGCAAGAAACTGCTTCTCGACTGCATTCAGAACCAATACCTTTCAAATTTCTCCATAGAAACAACTGCTGTACTTAAAACCAGAGGTACCTGATCGAATTTGTACGCTAATAAATCCTCCTACACTACAGTGTCTTCTTTTGCTCACTACAAGAATTATATAAAAATTCATTTGAAGTTTTACGTTGTAGAACGATGCTTCTTCCTCCATGGCATTAGTAGCCATTCATCGCGTCATTTGTTGATTTTAACGAGGTATCAAAATGATCCGCAAGTTTCACTTATTCATCAGCATAAGAAAATCGCCATGGCCGGTCCCAAGCCCGGATGAGAAAGGAGGAGGGTTGGAGACCGTGGCAAGTCTCCGTAA